GTGTGTGTGTGTGTGTGCGTGAGAAATACGGGGGTGGAAATCTTACGACATGTGACAGCTGGTGGGCTGATGCCAACGGGGAAGGATGGAGCAGAGAAGGAAATGACTGTTGCCAAGGCAACGCCGAGCTGGAGTGGCTGATGGTCGGGTAGCGTGAAGTAGCTGCCAGTTGAGAGAGCGAGAGCTGCAGAGAAACAATGCAAATGATTCGCTGTTATTATTATGATTACCAACAACAGGGCTCAGGAAAATACTTAACGCCAGAGAGAAACGTGCCGTCACAGAACACAACAAGAGCCCCTTACTCTTCAGCACTTATACACCTCCTCTGTTTACACAACCCACAAGCTTTTGAAGTTGTCTTTACCCTGTAGGTCAAGTTTAAATGATTTATCTTACCCTTTGATACTCGAGACCTGACAGGGAAAGAAAGAAAACATACTTTTTAAAGTTGTGCAAAAATGTCTTGCATAAATAGTTGCAGATGAAACCCTTGTAAAGTCTAGAACAAAGCTAAACGTACCCTTAAAAACACTCTAAACGTCCATATTTGCTGCTGGTAAATCTGAAATCCAGTTCTTTAAATACCAGATGTATTATTTATTAGTTTACTTGAAGTCTAAACATAGTTTCTCTGATCTCTGATCACATTTTTCCCTACTACAAAAATAACAAATATTATTTTAAAATGCCTAGGACTGACACGATAACAAATTTTGCTGGGCGATTAATTGTCTCAGAAATTATTGTGATAAACGATAATATTGTTTGAAATTTAACAATAATGTCACATTTTAGAAGAAATGTTGATTTGTTTGGGGTGTAGTACAATTTTTGACCACCTGATGGCAGTATAAGACTGTTCGAACCAAAGGATGGATAGTTGCGCAGCATGTCTCTAAAAATGGGAAGGAGGGCTCTTGACATGACATGGGCCGACATGGCGGACGCTCGGGGATTTGAGCTCTAGCATTTTTCACTCAAAGCTTTTAATTTAAAAAAAAAAAAATCAGTAAACAAGTTTTCAGTTTCTTTTTGCAGAGAAAAACAATTTTTTTACACAAAGGCACGGGTTTCAACCGTGAATTATGGAGCTCGACAAGTCGAAGGTTTATTCCCGAGGTTGGCCAGTTAGCTTAGCTCGTAGCTTAGCATCTCAACTTAGCTGCTTTTAACAATCCAAAAATGCAATTTTGAACGGGTAAAACTGATTTTAAAGAGAAATGGAGGGGTCAGTGAAAAGCACCGGAGTTGAACCATGTCTTCAGTAGGAAAAGAGAGACATGAAGAAAGGATAAAGCCAGTAAATGAAAATTAGGTCGATAATTTTCATTCATCATGCAATTAACTAATTTATTGTTTATTTTGACAGGCATAAAAATGCCTGCATCATACTTTAAGCTTCTTGTTTTTCAAATAATGGCAGGACTGTGGATCAGTGGTTAGATCAGTCGCCTAAAAGGAGAAGAGGGTACAGAAAATGAATGCATGGATGGATGAATTTTAAAGTTAAAATACGTTTTGGAGTTAAAATAAACAGTTTTTCTTAATCCACTGATTTAATTTTACTTTTTCAAAATGTTTTTATTCAATTGATTGAACATGTTTTTATTTAAAAAGTTGACCCAGAAAGAATGATATCTTTACATTAATCAAAATTTCTAAGTGGAAGTAACTGGAGCAAGTGTTTCTACTAAAAATATAATTAAGAGCAAGGGAGTGGTGTGCAGAACTTGACTCTGTTATTGTGTTGGGATGGAATTAGTGCTGTGAAAATCAGCTTTATAATGAATTAACAAAACAAGATAGAGATGTTTTCCTAAATCTGCCTAATGACCAGAACATTATAATAACTGTAAAATGTGCTTGCTCTGATCTCAGCATTTTTCTATCATTTATCTTGTTTTCATAAGCTCCTGAGCAATGAATAGAGGAGCTTAGATGCCCTTTTCTTGTCCACCTCTGGCTAATCCTGCTTGATGATTAAGCATTCCCATGCTTTTGAGGAAATATTAAACCTCTGCTGTGACTGATACAGCTCCAAGGTTTCCTCTGAGATGAATCTAAACAGGTAGATGTCAGGGAGGAATCTAAATCAGATGGCCAAATTATATTCTAACTGATCTAAAAAAGAACTCTGCTTCAAAGCTCTCCACTTGTATAGTCTCATTTAACCTTTAAAGCTCTCTCCACTGTTTCATTTAACCTCAGCAAGGTTCTTCTATAGTCTCTAATGTAGTGCAGCCCAGTAAAAAATAAAATACAATAAATATTTAAAATAAATCTAAATAATCATATAAACTGAATGCTCTTTAATTTTATTGGACATACCTAAAAGATGCTTTCAACTAGGTGCATTTTATTTGCACTCAGAAGTCGTGATTTCATAGTTCAAAGATTGAAAAATCAACTGGAAAGGCCGATAAAGTTGAAAGTGTGACTTGGAAAGCCAGAGGTTTCTCTTCAGACCTGAAAATCTAATGCAGCTGACTCACACACATGAAGTGATGCAGTAATAAACTATTGATTTGTGCCTCTTTCATATTTGTTCTTCATTAATTTAGTTGCATGCATACAGTAGTTGCATAGTTGCTGCACTGTTTGAGTACATAACATTCAGAGAAATATACAACTTAACTAATGAATACAATATTTAGCTAATTCCAATTGCTTTCCAAATTGCAACTGGAACACTTTTAGGTTTTATGTGATGTAATTCCCAGATCTGAGTTCTGACTTTTAAAGGAAATTAAATCCAGCCAGAATGTAGGCCTGAGCTAAAGAGTATTTGTCTTACAGGAATAATAATAATCAGAATCAGAATAATGATGATAATAATAATGATGAAAAAAAAATATTCTACAGTAGAATAATTTATAAATAAACCTAGTACTTAACGATTGTAAAATTAAGGACTGGCAATTCCAGCAGCACATGCCTTTATTACATACTTTACAAATGATCTAAAATAAACATTTATTAATAATAATAACTGGGTAAACAAAATAAAATACAAAGAATGCATTATATTTCTGGACTCACATTCTTGTAAATAATCAGCCATATTCTTACCCATTTGTTGAAAGTTAATAGCTCCACATCTTAAGAATAGACTTTTGATTGATTGATCGCTGACTCACCCACATGTTGGACATATAAATTCTCATGAATTTTCATGATTGTGAAGACACTTACACTGCATACATACATTGCAATTCAAATCAGAGGCTACGAAGGGTAATTTTCTTACATTTATCGTTTACCTAGATTAAACATCGGGAAACCCAGACCTTACTCATTCATCTTTAGTCAGCTCAAAGCACAACTGAGTTTTAGGCTTTTTAAAAAGAACAGTTATTATGATGTAAATATTGGTTGCCATGAGAGTCACTTTGTGTTGTATTTCTCTAAAATAATATTTTTATATTTAGCTTTCTTTGAAATACCAACAAAGTCCATTTGAATTACAATTCAAGCACTTGACCTTTTGCCTACACAAAAGCAAGACTGAAATGATTAATAGCGATCTTAAGTTTTGAATAAAAATCACCCACTTCTCTTTAGGTTTAATTAATAATCACATGTAGAAAGTTTACAATATTAATACACTCTAGAAGATGCTGCATGTCAGTAAAAATGTTTTCAACTTATTTATCAATCCATCCATCATCCATCCATCCATCCATTCATTATATTTTACCTGCTTCTTCCTTTTTGGGTCGTGGGGGTCACTGGTGCCCATGTCCAGCTAGCACTGTGCGAGAGGCGGGGACAGGTCCATCACAGAGACACATAGAGACAAACGAGACAAACAACCAGTCACTCGCTCACTCACACCTAGAGACAATTTAGAGTTATCAATCAGCCTAACATGCATGTTTTTGGTCTGAAGGAGGAAACTGGAGTACATGGAGAAAACCAACGCATGCACACAGAAAACATGCAAATTCAACCCAGAAAGTTCCCAGACTGGGATTTGAACCGGCGACCTACTCACTGAGAGGCAGCAGCTCTACCAGTGCACCACCGTACTGCCGATTTCAACTTTTCTTCAGCTTAAAATGTACAAGTAAGCTTATATTTATTTATGTAACATGTCACTTAGCAATAATACAATGTCAATAGACAGGTGGTCCTTATAATAGACCACATTAGGTATGAAAAGAGTTAATAGAGTTCCCTACTGGAGCTTAAGTATCTACATTGCATTTAGGTTGCTCTCTTAAGGCTCCAGTATACTCGCACTTCCTGTCAGCTGTGTGGAAACTGTGCGCACTGTCCGCAGAGGGTTGAGACTTCATACTCAAGCGTCAACCATGAGCGGCTGCAGTCAGCTCCACAGAAAAGGGGCGTTTACCTTTGGGACAAATTGAGTTCACCGAATGGTTATTTGCTGACATGCCTACTGGATTGACTGACAGGTTGCAAAAAAAAAAAAAAAAAAATGAGAGCTGCAGCCCAGCCGCAGCAGTGTTCTGGGTTTATATGTTGTTAATAAAAAGTTCTAAAAAAAAAACAACAGGGAGCTCTGGCACTGCAGTCCACACATCAGACCAGCCCACCGGGAAATCTCCAGACCGTCCCGCTGCCACAATGGACCTGATTTTAATTTGCTCATGACAAATTCCTTCATTTCTCACAATTTCAGTCATGGCATCAATGGAGGAGGAGGAAGAGATCGCTTGCCTTTTGGGAAAAAAACAAACAAAAGGAAAGGCCAGATCAGGGATGAAGAAGGGAAATGTAATACATTGGTGTTCCATACAAAACAGTCCGTCGCCGGGCAGTCTATTGTGCAACACCGAATACGTGTATGCAGTCGTAAAAATTGAGCTTTGCACAGACTTGCCCTGCGGGCGTCTGCTTCAAGTCTAACCCGGTAGGCGCGGGCTTCCATGAACTGACATATGCGTGAGTATACTGGAGGCTTTAACACTCTATCAGTGCTGATGTAAACACCCATAACTTTAAACTGAATCCAAAATAAGTCTGTCAATAAATTAAGACGTACTTATGTTTTCATTAACATTAAATTTTAAAAAAGTACAATTTGAGCATCTATGTCGTGTCGACATCGGGGGCAGTGCCACTGGATTGGCAGACTGTGGTGGTGGTTCCCCTCTTCAAAAAGGAGGACCGGAGGGTGTGCTCCAATTATAGGAGCATCACTCACCTTAGCCTCCC